ATACGATATGTTGGTCTACCTTTATATGCTATTATGTTCTCACAGGGGAACAATTAGATATTATAGATACTAATGACAGTGTAGCTCATTTCGACGCGACGGGATCGGTAGTTCGTAAACCATATAATATCTATTGCAAAAGAATTATGTATTACGCCATAGTTGTGAAAAAGGGTGAATCAATAATACCTATCGCTGAAATGATTACGTCTGAGCACGACATTCCATCGATAAGCATATTATTAAAAAGGTATCGACAGTTTGCTGAAGTAAATCGAAGAAAATGGCCACTTTTTAAAGTTGTGGTGGTAGATTGGAGTTGGGCATAAATAAACTCCCTCATGAACGAGTGGAATAGATGTGACATCGTAGAATATTTGGAACGTGTGTACTCCAGTTTGGATAAAGAAACTCCGATTGAAGATACACTTTTAATCGTGCACACATGTTGCGCACATTTCATGAAACGTGTGTCATCAAATATAAAAAAGAAATTTCCAAAACCCATTGGGATAAAAACATTTGTACTCGAGTGCATAGCGATAATGTTAATGAGTACAAAACTTTGACTTTTGGATGAAATATTTGAGGAATTTATTACTATCCTGTTAACACCTCAGGAGGAAAAGTCTCAGCTAAGCATAATACGGCTTATTGTTAATCAACTTCGTACAAAAAGTGGCGTATTTAACGAAACTGAGGAAGACGGAGAAGAGGAAGAAGAAAACGGAAATCAAGATTTTGAACATGAGAATATATTAATAAATGAGAGAATGAAGGAAGAATCTTCAACGCATCTCCTTTTTTGGAAGATATAATCATAAATATGTACATTTAAAAGAGAGGATTGAAAGAAGTAATAATATCACTAATAAATATTACAATCCCGAAATTGCGGAATATGTTACATACAAACTGATGCCATTTGTGCCAATGTGGTCGAGTATTTTATTGTCACAAATTGTACTTAACGTGGCCAGATTAAGTAATGCGTACGTAGAAAGTTACTTCAATGTAGTAAAAAACGAAATTTTACAAGGCCAGGTAAATTTAAAGATTGGTCGGTTCATTAATAAAATGAAGAATTACAAACGTAGCCTAATTGCCGAAGCAATGATAAAAGTTCCGATTAAAAGTCGCCAAAAGAAGATTAAACGTTTATATCCCGAAAGCCCGTTAAATCCGTTTGTGAGAGAGATGTGGCAACGTCGTAAAAAAGCAAAAAAAAGTCTGATGGAAGGACGTCAACTATCTCAAATAGCGAAAAAATGTGAGTCAGCGATTCATACACCTGTATGTGATGTCGGAGAAGAACATAGACAAGTTCTTACATAGCAAAGTAGCGGCTCAACTCACAATCGTGCTTTAAATAATGGCTTATTTATAGACATCGAATATTATATGCAAGACACAGAATGTAATGTAACTGTTGGTCGTTATTTCGCAGACAGGAGTACGCCAATACTATCGGATAAGGAATTTTATTTATTTTCAGAACAGTTCAAAACGTTGAAGCCAGAACAGTGGATTGATGGAACAATCATTGATTGCTTCGTTGTTTCCCAAATAAATGATTGGAAAAATATTATATATGTGCCAACAGATCATACGTCCTTTATATTAGGCGATTATTGCCATAGGAAACCACATGAAAATTGGCTAATGTATAATATAACAGAGGAAATTCACGGAAAGATGTTATTACCATATCTATATATCGGTCGCACTGGAGATTATTGGTAGTCGACATCGACGAAAGAACCGTTATTATATTGGATCCTTACAAATGTGGTAAAGATGATAAAAGAACAGAAGAATCATTCAAGAGATTCTTAGAAGCTTGTCCCAAAACATCCTTGAAAACACTAAAAAATATTAACTTCAAGCGAAAGAAAATGTTTAACAATCGTCCGTTCCAAAAAGCTAGCGATGGAAACAACTGCGGAGTGTACATTTTGCATTACATAAAATGCATTGCCGAGGGTCAAGATTTTGACACATCGTTAGAACCGACAAATGTTCGAAGAGAAATTGCGGAAACTTTATTAATACGTCATCTGGCATAAAAGAGAGATGCCTGTTTTGCTTTAATACGAAGAAGAGAGATTTGGTAATGTGCAATTTATGTAGGCGTTGGGCACATCCACAGTGCATTGGAAAAACTGGCAAACAAAAAAGCATAAAGGAATGGGCAGATCCTAATGTAACATACACCTGCAATTTATGTAAATTAAGCATCAGAAACTGGATGACGAATAAAGAATAACTTACAACAAATGCAACGAATAAATATCCTGCAATTTCTTCATTCGCCAGTTTACGTCTAAACAAGTAAAAATTTAAACATTTTAGCGAATTTAACATTTTATTTAATACTAGGATAATAAAATTCAAACATATCAATTATTATTCGATGCAACTTATTTACTTAACACGTTCGATACTACGGTTTATTTGGGGATTCTTGCCATAAAATAAAATGTATGTACATTTATGTAATTGTGTAATTAGATTTAGATTGTTTATGTGGAAAAAGAAAGAAAAATTATCGCTTTTACATACACGCAGGCACGCACGCACGCACGCACGCACACTCACGCGCTCGCTCGCGTGCACACACCCTCACACATACATGCACATAAAACGCTGAGATTGTCAGCAGAAATTTTTGTTGGTGTCATTGGGCGCGCGCTTGAACTTCGGCGAGTATGGAGGAATTCCGGGGCCTCGCTTTTCGTAAACTATTTTTTATCTAACTACTGACGTTCAACTACGTACAAAAATGTCGGTATTTGATGGTACAAAGCCCCGGAGATCTCGGCGGGGATTTTAAATGGTGTGAATGTTGCCGCGCGTGCAGTTTTCGCGGTGAACGGAGCGCTTCCGGGGCCTGATTATTATTCAAATATTTTTTTCTTAACTTGCAACATTCCTAGAATTTTAACTGTTGTGTAATTTCGTGGCACAAAACTCTGATATTTTTCTTCAATTA